TACACGCACACACACACACACACACACGTATATACGTACATGCATGCGTGCATGCATGTGTATCTATTTAGGTTCACCTGGGGAAAAAAACATTCAGATGTTTTACAGAGTTAAGACTTGCGTAAGTGTTTTAGCCTGCAGGAGTTATATATGGCTCAGCTTCTATGGCCCAGGTTAGAAGGTCATTGCGGTTTACCTTATCTGGAAGTGTCCAGACAATATTACACAGTCTGTGGGTGGGGCACTCGCCATTCCCTAGGATTCTTGTATAGAATACCAGATAACTTAAATCAACATTAACTAAAAGAGCATATGCAAGACCATGTAACACCATCAGTCGTTATTTGACAATAAAGAGCTGTTTAATCACTGTGCCTTTGAGTTCAAGCACAGCAATTGGCCTTTGAGATACTCATCATCAAGACTGATGCAGAATCTAATTAAAGCAAAGCGTGCTGCTTATATACCGCCCCATAGCACTTCAAGCACACTCTGGGCGGTTTACAAGTTAATTATGCAGGCTACATATTGCCCCTCCTCAAAGCGATCTGGGTACCCATTTTACCGACCTCGGAAGGTATATTGCCCCTCCTCAAAGCGATCTGGGAACCCATTTTACCGACCTTGGAAGGATAGAAGGCTGAGAGAACCTTGAGCCACTATCTGGGATTGAACCACTGCGCGACAAGGCTCTCGGTCTAATTAACTCAATTTTCTTGTTAAATGATATAAAAAATCATATCCTCCTGTAGTAGGTTGTGTGAGGTTTGAGATCTACAGGAGAGGCTCTTTTCTTAGTCCTCCTACCATGAGAGGCTTGTTTGATGAAAATGCAAAGAGAAGACTCACTTCCAGGTTTGGAAATTTCTGCTGGAGGAGACTGGGAAGGTCTCTTCCCTGTAATCCTTCCATCAACAGGCAAATACTTTTCTTATTCACCCTGGCCTTCAGCAACAGATGGCCTGCTAAAGACTTCTTTTAAGACAGTATTACTGCGATTTTAAAACATATTTTAAGATGTTTTAATATTAATTACATTTTAATACTGTTACTGTTTTGCTTCTGTTTTATATGTTCTTGTAACTTAATTGTGTTTTAGTGAAATGAATTTTTAACCTTTGTAAGCTGCCATGGGTCCCAGCACTGGGAGAAAGGAAGCATATGAAAACGAGCAAACAGTCAGGCAGACATTTAGGACTGTAATGTTACTTTTTAGTGAAAGCTTATTCCATATCTATCAACATAGGAATATTCTGTTCCCCCTCTTTAACCAGTTCGTTTCAAAACAGGTTTGTTCTGAGAAGTGTATACTGTATGTATAAATAAATATCAGCATTCACCATCTGAATACATGAATAAGGAACATTGTTGTACAGTACTTGGAATATGACCTGTATTCATCTATTGTGTATGTTATGCTCTTAAATTGTGATAGTTCCTGTAATAACAGAGGTAATTAATAAGAATGGCTGAATAGAGTTCAAATGGAAATAAGGATTCCTTTCTTTATTGGAATGCATTAAGCCATATTTCCAGTGATACGTTTCAGACAAGAATATTTATGCTAAATTCACATACATAGATTTACAACTAGAATGAGGATTAATATAGAATTAATGTGCAATATCTGTTATAACTATTTAAAGCTCTCCACTGTGAAGGACCTGGGAGCACACTGGATTCTTCCCCTCCTCAATCTGCCTGAACTGTATCTGTCATCCAAGATTTCCTCTGTATGTCTACTGTAGATTTTCTGAAATGTAGTGGGTAGGAAGCAGAATCGAGTCTTTTAAGTTGTGACCTTTTTTTCTCCAGGAACCACATTAACTTCTTTTACTGTTAACTTTAATATCAGACAATGGGCTTTTTATATTTCCAGAATTCTTAGATATGCTTAGTTGTAAAACAAGGATGGGCAACTTCTGATGGGAGAGCCACATTCACTCACTGAATCCACCCAGAGCTGGTCCTACCATTACCAAATTTTAGTGGTGATGCAGTGACACCCCAACTCAGACATTTTCAATTGAAAACAAAGTGCATAAGGAATTGTATAGCAATCACACATCTAGAAGTGTGATTTAACTTTTAAAAAAAGACATGTAGAACTCGTTTAAAAATTGAAACTAACTTTTATCTTTGCCTTCTGCCAACCTGTTATGGGCATTCTTCATCATATATTTAGTATTGCTTGTGTAATATAGTGTTAGAGTAGCATAGTGTTTTGCTCTTGCTGCTTAATGAAATGACAAAAAATGGTTTATTTTGACTGCAGACTATGTATACAGTGGTGCCTCGCTTAGCGATTGCCGCGTTTAACGATGTATTCGCTTAGCGATGAGGCTTTTGGAGCGATTTTGCGCTCCGTTTAGCGATGTTCCCTATGGGAAAATTTCGCATAGCGATGTTTGGGACCTTGCCTCGCTTAGCAATGACAGTTTAGGTCCCCTGTTTCGCTTAGCGATGTTCCGTTTTTGCTATTTTTAAAGTGTCTTAAAATGTTCAAAAACTGTCTTAAATGCTTGGAATCGTTAGTGCACCTTGTAAAACCTTTGTAATCTTAATTTGGCTTTGTTCTGACTCTTCGTTAATTTTTGGTGAATTTTCCCCTCCCATTATAATGCATTGAATTGTAGGTTTGACAGCTGTCTTCTGGACCGGTGTTTTCTGGACCAATGCTTTGCAGGACATGGACCGGTGTTTTCTGGACCGATGCTTTGCAGGACAGCCATTTTAACAGCTTCACAGAATGGCTTCCCTATGGGTGATCTTCGCAAAATGACGACGATTTTTCCCCATTGGAACGCATTAAACAGGTTTCAATGCATTGCAATGGGGAAACGGTTTTCGCAAGACAATGTTTTCACAAGACAGCGATTTCTATGGAACGGATGATCATCGTCATGCGGGGCACCACTGTATTACTGAGGTCTGCAAATGGATCCAAAGCTCATGGAATGGAGTCAAACAAGAGGCAATTGTGAAGTCCTTCAAGAAATGTGGAATCAGCAATGTTACGGATGGAACTAAAGATGATCTCATATATACATAGACTGTGACTCAGAAGACAGTAGTGATGTGACAGAGGTTGGAGAAAATGATATGCCTGGAATGGAGAGTGATGCATAATTTCATCTTTAAAATATTACTAAAGTACTGGTTCTAAATATGTCTTTAGTATTAAAAATATGTTCTGTTTTATGTTTAAAATATTGATTTCTTAATATTGGCTTAGAAAAGTAGGGCTGTCTTATACATGGGGGCATCTTATACATGGAAAAATACAGTAAATATGTAATTAATTCAGTTTGTCTTTCGATAGATATTTGTCGATTAAGATGTAAAGCAAATTTCATTTTCAATGTTCTGTAATGCTTATAGATCTTTGCCTTACTTATCCTTGCAACAGCTGTTAAGTCGGCTGTTGGTACTACCTCCCTCTTTCTGCATGCAGGCAGTTGAAAGTGGGCTTGATTGTAGATTTCCTAAATTAGAAACAAACATACAGTGTTGCCTCGACTTATGGCCATAATCCATTTCAGAAGATGGACGTAAGTCGAAATGGTCGTAAGTCGAAGCACCATTTCCCATTGAAGTGCATGGGAACATGATTAATCTGTTCCAGCATTTTAAAAAAATACCAAAAAAAACACAAACAAACCTGCAAGCTTACCTTACCAGATCGAAGTCTCCTCTGATCGCAAGTCACTCCCCAGCGGGGCCGGCCATGGTGGAGGGCAAGGCCGGGGTGAGTGGCCGGACCATCCCATCCAGGCTCAGCCTCCCGGCGCTGGGCCGCCGCCGCCGCCATAAGAGCCTGTCAGGAGGTGAGCCACCCCCGTGGGGCCAAGCACTGAGGTGGCAGTGGCGCAGGAGGACCCTTCGGGAGCCGGGATCAGGGGGCCCTCCACCCCCACGCTGAGGCCAGGTACGGTAATGCCCCCGCCACCCCCACTGCGCCATCCTTTTCCCTAACCTTTGGGGTGAAAGAGCTACAGAGCAGCCTCTTTGCCACCAATGGTTTGGATTTCCCACCTTTCCCCCCAGCCTTTCCTGGTTGCAAGTTGAAGCTCCGGCCGCAAGTCGAAACAAAAATTTGCGGCCGGAACTGGTTGTACGTTGAAATGGTCGCAAGTAGGGACGTATGTAAGTCGAGGCACCACTGTATATTCCTACTGGGAAATATGAGTTCTGCAGTAAAGCATTTGGATAAACCAGTGGTCCTCAATCAGGGGCACATTTGAATGGTTGGGAAGCTGCAATGGACGGCATTGCTAAATCACTACGATGGTGGGTATCCATTCAGAAACTGGCTACTGTGTTGAATGAAGAAGGTCAAAAAGCTCCCTAGAAAGGGAAAGTGGCTTTAAAACAAAGAATAATCTTACTCTCAAGACGTGAGTTCAAGTTAGTGGCTGTCACTGGATGCTGTGAAATGAAGTGTCTGAAAAACTGGATAGCTGTGGTTTAGGTCTCGTTGGGAGTTCGATTTCCCACTGGGCCTCCTTGACAGAACCTGAACTTCATGATCCATAGGATCCCTTCCAGCTCTGCGGTTCTAAGGTTCTTCTTTTTTACTGCAACCACTTCCAAGTCCTTATGCAAAAATTACTGTGTCCTCTCTGGGCCTACGTGGTGCAACTGGTGGGGAGGCTGAAGAATGCAGACTTTGAAATTTTGTATCTATATGTGTAAAGATGACACACATGTGCTCAGCAATCTACATGTTGCTTTATATAGGGTGGCATCATATCAGGGGGAGAAAAGACAGCTACTATCTATTGTTAATGCAGAACTCTCCCCTTTTCTATATTTTTGTCAGGTTAGGTTCCTACACTTTAACCTCTTCCTCAGCTTCTCTTCATATAAGCTTGACTGAACAAAGATCTCCTTAAAAGTTGCTAGGTGTAACTGTCACTGTATTTAAGACTGTGGTTTGAACAATGAACCATTATGTTCCCCCCCCCTAAATACTGTACATATATTTATCTCTGTTACAGAAAATACAGCTGCCTAGGAAAATATCCAGACGTTATCCGGCCTATGAGCTGTATCTCTATGGTGAAGGAAACTATGCAGAGGAAAATAGAAAGCAGCCATTGAGTGGAATTCCTATTCTTTTTCTTCCTGGCAATGCTGGCAGTTATAAGCAAGGTAGGGTATATGATGAAGTATTGCTGATCTGGGTGTTGTAGCCCTATGATAAAACAGAACATTTTTTTGAATTCTGTTGGAGACTTAGAAAGAGGGGTAGGTGAACTGGAAATTGATTTCACACCAGCATGTGTCCTCCTGCATATTGTAGTTCACATTTAACCATTAGCATGGTTTCTGCTTTTCTGTACTGATGCTTTCATATCATTAACAATATGATATGGATGGTAATCTTCTAGTGCAATATTCTTTTTTTAAGTATTTATTTAAGGACAGGGTAGGGTATACAAAAAGTAAGGGGAAATAGGGAAGAGGGTAAGAGCGTTAGGGGGATAGGAGAACACAAAGAATACAATCATCCAATCAATTCATATTACAATAACAAATCAACTTTTTGCTTTTTCGCAATTTGATTACCCTCCTGCTTTCATCTTATTATTTAATTTTAGTTTAATTCTGTTACTCCAACACTATCTGGTAACTGCAGCCATTTATACAATACATCCCATCGTTCAGTTTCCTTTTGAGTTGAACAGTCTTTCAGCTCATCTGATAGGCTATCCATTTTTGTCACTTCCCATATTTTCACAATAAGGTTCTCTTGTTTCTGTATCTCTGCTTTCTTGAGATTTTTAACATAATGCTTTTTAATTTTGGTAGCTGCATAGGTCACTGGATAACTCTCTATCCCATCTATGTTACCTGGTGTCGTGCCCAATAAAGACGGTTCTAAAGT